ATTACCGTTTTCAAAATTTAGGTTCCCGACTTGGTTCCTGAAATATCCTGAAAAGACAAGAAATCAACACTTTTTTAATTATCACTTATTACGTAAACTGCTTAACTTAGAAAGAAAGTTAAAATTGCCTTTGGTAGAACTTTTTGCGTTGAATTCAATAAAGTAGCACTCGTTATCATAGTCAACTTGATTTACGAGATTAAAAATAATCTTATGGTTTTTTAATTGGTAATCATAGTTGGCTGTGGGTTTTTTTCCTTAAATCCTTATTTTTGTCTGAATTTAACGATATACATAATTGTTTGTATGTTTTTCTCCTTTTGTTGCCGTAAAACTTCAAAAGAAGATAAAAAATGTGTAGTAGGCTATGGAAGCAAGAACTATATTATCACACAAAGCACAAAGCAAAAATAAAATAATGAATCGTTTAAATTAAATGTTCAAATTGACTTCCGTTTACGTCCAGGCATTTTTTGTCATCTTCACATTCAACTCGTGAGTTGTGTGAAGGTGCACCATCATGTTCAAAATATGCCAATTTTCGATACGATGCTAACGGAAAACTATTCAATATGTCTTCAAGTTCATTTGGTAAAAAGTGTAAATATCTTTGCATATTTAAATTGTGATTATAAAAGAATGAACCAATAATTTTATCACTAAAAATGCCTCACCAGACATTTACACAAAAAACAAGTTGATCTCGCCTATTTTCATTTCGAGATAATGCTTTTCATTAGCCCAGTAAACATGATTGTGTCTGTTAATTATTTCATTTTTGTTTTGGGCTTTGTGTGATAATATAGTTCTTGTTTCCATAGCCTACTACACATTTTTTTATCTTCTTTTGAAGTTTTACGGCAACGAAAGGAGAAAAACATACAAACCGTTAGATCGATAAATTCAGGAAAAAATAAGGATTTTAAAAGCCCACAGCCAACTATGATTACCATTTAAAAAAACATAATTTTATTTTTTATCTCGTAAATTAAGTTGACTATGACAACGAGTGCTAGTTTATTGAATTCAACGCAAAAAGTTCTACCAAAGACAATTTTAACTTTTTTTCTCATTTAAGTAGTTTACGAATTATATGATAATTAAAAAAGTGTTGATTTCTTGCCTTTTCAGAATATTTCAGGAACCAAGTCGCGTACATAAATTTTGAAAACGGTAATAAATAGGCAATCGAATTCTGCCCAATTTTGCTCATTTAACGGATTCTTTATCTTTAAAAATGTAGAAGTTACCCATACAAAAATTCAGAAAATGGCCACCCTGTATATATGTATATATATTCTCAAAACTTATTATTATTTGATTAACATTCCCTTTTTTTATTTTTTTCAGTATTTGAAGCGAAATTTTAGCTCAGTTAGAGGTTACGAAAATGTATAGAGCTTTTTTTTTGGTTTGTTACACTTTCAAAATTTTAATTTTACCCGGTTTTGTTAGAAATTACACTAAAACATAACAAATATCTACGATATGTGATGGCAATGCACTACAGATTTTCTTAAATAGTCTCCAAGAAATTTGTTCGAAAAATCACAAGTTCTCGATCCTTCATATAACATGTTTTGGACTCATTAATTCCAAGAAATTCCTTCTTGTTTCACATTCAATTGTCGATTTACATCTGAAGCAACTATAATTTACGTAATGTTAATGAGGAAGATTCTCATCATGCTGGTACCAAAGTGGCGCTGTTGCCTAATTTAGGTCCAGTTGTTCGAATATATTTGAGTTTAAAGCAAAATTAAGCAAATTTTTAAAAACACGTTTCCTGAACGTCCTAAACAGCTCTAATAGCCAATTTTGAATCACCCTGTATAAGTAAGAAATATATACTCTTTAATAGGCTCAAACCATTCAAATGAGTTCCTATTCAATACTAGTAAACAAATTTCGAAACTTTGGTCTATTTTACAGAAACAGAAATAAATTGCATCAACTATAAATACATATATTTTTAACAAAATAAAATAATAATAATAATAATGAAAGGCAATAGCAATCCTCAACCGCATAAAACTCGTTAAAACTTACTAATAAAATGAGAAACGCCAAATTATTTGAAACTCGATCCAAACAATTTGATTGATGTTGTAATTGTCTTCAGTTCACTCTGACAGAACTTCGGGAAACACCAAAACATAAAGCGCACCAAACCGCTAAATAAAAATCACCGTAACCGGTAAAAAACAAACAAAAATCTTCACCATGAACAATCAAATATGGACGCGGAACAAAGAAGAAACAGCAACGATCGCGTGTCGTTAGATACCTGGCAATGGTAAATACTGAAGAAGTGGTACGGCTGTGAGCAAGAGTACCAACGACCATGCAAGAACCGCGCGGAGACCGTGGTTCACCTGTCCCGATTTGTTCAACGAAAAGGATTTTAAAGTTTGAGGCATGACGCATTTTTAGTTGCACCTTTACAGTCCGTTTTTTGAGGACTTTATTATCATAACTTATAGAGAAGTTTTAATTTGTTCATAAAATTTCTTAAAATTAGTAGGTACCCAGATATGAATAAATCAAGTCTAACGGATTGTGAACTCTTTTTATGTTGTGTAAAGTATTTAGACTGTTCAGAACAGTCAATAGATAATTTAAACAAAACTACAAATTAATTTGGAAGCTTGAATGATATTTTGCCAAATTTCGAGTTCGAGTTAGATTCTTGAATAGTTTTTGGCACTTTTAGATTCTGGAAGCATTTGGTTCGAATACAGGAAATTTCAAAACGAACATTATAGAAATAATGCATAAAAACTGAACCTTTTAAGGGGCAATTGAATAGGATCATTTGGTTGCTTTCAGATCATTTTGCGTAACAGAAAGTTCCGCAACGTTGATCTAATTGTTCCTTCCGGCTAATATTTTTAGGCATGCCACAAATTTTTACATTTCTCCAATTACTAACAATCGAATATTTCCTGTTATTTACTCCAAGAAAAAAATGGGTCTAGCCTGTGAAAGGTTCGGCAAATTGTAGTTCTTAGGTACCACCTGCTGCTCTCATTAAGCGGAATAAAGACCGTAATATCAGACAAAGTTGCACTGAAGACCCCATTGCGGCAGGAAAAATGCAGTCAATATCGACCACTTTCCACTAAGTTCTCCTTATTTTTATAAAAACATTTTATTTCATTTGATGCGACTTATTAGTCCAGGACTTGGAGGTAAATCGTAAATATAATGAGATTATGTTGATGCATATACGTTTTTTGAACTTAAATACTTGAAATGACTAGAACTCACTAGAAAGCTTCGCTCTTTGCCCCCTTTTCACATATACAATCACGACTTAACAACAAAATGAGTTTTTACAGCCTGGAGTTTAACATTTATTTCATCTGTTACTTGCCAAGTGACAAGGTAAATTTTGGATGATTTTATTGATCCCAGTGTGTTTTATAAATAATAGGAGTTTCGATTTTGAGTCATCATCATGCTGTTTTAAAGATTTTTTACATTTTTTTTTGGTGGTTCAGGTTCTTTATTTTCTCAGAAATTAGTGATGCTGGAGAAAACGACTTTCCGGTGTATTTTTTTTAACACAAAATGCGTTCTATTCGTTGAATGTTTTGATTTTGAGTCAGATCATATACCTATTAAAAAAAAATAATTTGCAAGAGAATTTTGTGGTGTTCTATAAGTGAAAAAATGTTTAGATTTTGATTTTGAGATATCCTTGGGAGTTTTTATCAATTTTTTTACAATTTTATTTGTATTTTGCTTCTGTTAATGCAGGCCGGATTTTAGCAGTTTTTACTTCAAAGGCCAGTAAACCGAGCAAGTGCCTTTTGCAAGGATTTTTTATCATAGTCTGTTTCATAAGTAATAAAAGCTTCTATTTTCAGTCATCATCAGACTATTTTTAGGATTTGGAAGATCGGATTTAGGAATTGGCGATAAATTTTGTGCTTGTCTATACAGAGTTAATTTCGGCTAATTTATTTTCTCAGAAACCAGTAAATTTGGGATTAAATTTCGGGTGCATTTTATAGGACAACTTCCAATATGCGTGCGGAAAGTTTCAACTTGCATTCATCATCGGGGTATGTTCTAGATTTTTTAAATTTGCCATATAATTTTGCGGTTGTTTGTACGCGAATAAGTTTGACAGATATTTTCCCCATATCCCGAACAGTTGTAGAGTCTCCTTTATATCAGATTTGTGGCAACAAGGTTTGTTCTATATGTGAAAAACGTTTCGATTTTGACTCATCCTCAGGGAGTTTTTGTCAATTTTTATCAATTTGATTTGTTTTTTCGGTTGCTTATGCAGACCGGAGTTTCACAGTTATTTCCTTAGAAACCAGTCGAATTAGCGATTGAATTTTCTTTGACTTGGTTTAAAGCGTCGGCCGTTTTACAACTTGTTAAAGTTTTACTATACATGATTACAGAGTTAAATAGTATAATAATTTTCTTTTTTGATATTAATTTGAATTCAGTTCTGCAGCAAAAATAACTTGATTATTTAAAAAACACGCACTTACTAGATTTGTATGGTTGTAAATCTTATTGACCACTTTTGTAAAGTGTCACCAATTTATTAGTCAAAGAATCAACCTATTCTTGCCACATTTAATAAATTGGTAAATTGGTACTACATGTGTAGAAAAACACACGTATGAAGCAATAAGTTAATAAATTATACAACAATCATTCAATAAGAGCAACTTACGGAGTACAACGTAGTGCTATGATCGTAAGTGATTTTGGTTGCGAATTGAAATGTTTTCAAAATGATGAAAAATAAAAATAACCGTTCATACACTTTACCACTAGGTTTTTATTGCAAAAATATATTTGAAAATTTGATTAATTCGTTAATAGATAACAGTTAATGAGTTTAGTAGAGGATGCTCATAGTTTCCAGCAATTCATTGGTTGTACTTCCGTTAAGGTTTGTATGCTTAAAGGTTTATGCTCAGCATTAGAGCCCGTATTCTTATATCTATGTCAACATTCTGAAATAGATATTACATATTAGATTCTTAGTTGACTGTTTAAGAAGGAATTTTCAAGTTTCCACAGATTGTGCAGGTAAAAATTGTTTAATTAACTCGCACATATATGGCAACTTACATAGATGCCTCTGTTAAGTAGCTCTGGAGAAATGTACCGCCTTCTATATCCCATTCCTTCTCGTCTTTTCGGTCTTTCCTTCAGTTGTCTTTCGTGGCCGCCGATGCAAGAATAATCCTCAAATTTCTCAACATGCTCTTGGTCTAATTTGAGAGCCACAAGATTATGCTTGGCTGGAAAAAGGGTGACTCCGTCTCTATCATCCACCAAGTAAAATGGCACTTTGCCTGTTAGAACATCACGAGTTGCTTCTTTTGGAATCACTTGATGAACTCCAACACTATAAGATGTTCATGTTTGAACAGTGGGGAAATATTTTAGGTCATTTTCTGGTATTGATAACAACTAAAAGTTACCCTCTGATCAACATAGGAATTCGCTTATTTTCTACCGCTGTATCAGGATTATTTTCACTATGATTTTCTAATCCATTATTTGTCCCCGAAGTGCTTGGGCCTGCTTCACTTTGCAGATTGCGTCGAGGTCTCGGAGATTTACGTTTTTTCGGCGGACCCACAGGTATTAAAGATTCATGCATAACTGCTCTATAAAAGGAAATTTAAACGCATTGATTTAACTTCGATTGGAAAGCTTCATTGTTGGAGACACACACTTGTTAAACTGCCGTTAACTGTAATTTGTAAAGTGCAAGTAAATCTGTTAAATCAATAGTAAGTATAACTGAAGACGGTTTAAGTTAAGTCGTTTTTTTTCGAAGGATATGCTTGGAATATGTTCCCACATGAAGATGTGGTTTAGCAGAGCAGATGGTTATACCAACTGTTGTAAAAACGTAAAACCCTCAGGTGATTAAATTAAACTACTTTTGTCATACGATAGATGTTCCACTTTGCAATGTTGCTGTTGAAGAATGGGAAATAATTATTTACCGGAAAAAATTTTACAAATTTTCTGCGTCTTTAAGAATTTTAGTTTTGACAACTTATTATTGTATTAATTTGTATAATTTATATCACTATGTAACAGCTAAAAGCATGTTTAAATAAAATGTCCAATTCAAAACAATGAATAGCAAGAATAGTAATAGTATTAGAAGTTTGTTTTGCCAAAGTGTACTCAAAATAACAAATAAAATTTTGTAAAGGAGTGCAGACAATTTCCAGCACTCTTCAACATCACAACAGTCGCCTGTTATGTAGCGATAATGACTTAATATAATCATTGCATAATTAGTGAATAATTAATTAAGAAATCTCACCTCAAATTCAAATGATCAAACACTCGATGCAACCGATTTAAAATAACTGAACTATTTGAACTAAAGAAAATGTGACTTGGGACGTCAGGGCTGTAGCTGAAACTTCAGACGCCAGGATTCACAGCTACGAAAAATAGATACTTTGACTATAGATATGAGTGTATTAGGTATTGGTTGCATTTGTAATTTTTAATATATACAAATATTTGATAAAACACACATTATAGTTTGAATAAGCTAAATATTAATTTCATTAACGAAAGTCTGATGTTATTAAAATACGTACATTTACATTATCCATAGAATGTTGTTGAATATTTTTCGTCACCCTCTAACCTTTCTAAGTTTTTCACTTCACAATTTTATTTACTTCTTCCTGCAAAACAATTAAGTGTTTTGAAGCCAAATAGATAAAGACTTTCTGGGCACAACTGATTTATTTTCTAATAATAATAACCAACAACAACATTTGATTTGAAGCTTCAAACCACTCTAATAGTCTAATGTTACAATTGAATCCTAATGACGAAAATAGAATCAAAGATACTTAGCATTCTTTGGATCTTGCACAACTGATCTCAAGCCAAGAAATTGCATTGTTCATGTGATACTTTATAACAATTATATTTCTCATCCAAAACACGTAATCTGTGTAAAATTACGTCTGAATTATATTTATTGTTTTGGAGTATGTTCTAATTAGATATATGTGATGCAAACCGTCATAATTTTAGCGTTATTTTTCCTCTGCTCGTTCAAATCTGTCGATTAAATATTCCTATTTGCAGTCACAAAGTTGCATTAATTATTTTATTATGCTGCCATAAAGGTAAATATACGCCGGTACCGGAAAAACTGACCCAGTTACGAAAATAAATCTTTCATTGTACGGCCTCAATTTTTGGAACATTACAATTTTATGTACTCGAAATGTATGATTGTGTGTATTTTTGTAGCGTTTTACGAGTTTAACCAACTCCACCACAAACAAATTGGTTTTGATTAAATTGCATTTCCACTTTAACATCAGAAGTAAAACATTTCAACTTTGTTGGCTTAAATACTTGAATTATTCTCAATTGTGCCATGTTTATCGTAAAGGAACCCAGCAAGAGTTTATCACACAAAAGTTTTGGGAAAACTGAAATATTAAGGCAATGTTGGCGTCTTTTATTTGCGTCCAAAATGTTGAAATATTGCTAGAATATAGCATTTGTATTTAATCTGCAAGAAACCAGGCGGTTATTTCTTTTGAGATGTAAGCAATTCTGATTCTGATTTTTAAATGAGCAAAAGACAATTTTATTGCATGTAAAGTTAATTGAGACCAAATGGAAAAAGTCGTTGTTGTATTGTGTAAACACTAGGACCCGACCACAAGGCGGGCTTTTATACTGTCTCGATTCACTATAGATGTTATTTGCCAATAAATGTAAACACCATAAGTTCATATAAATTTTACGAACGTTTTGCAAAGGAAACAACGAACCTATTGTAACAGAAATGAATAAAGAAGATTTTTATTCAGTCCGAATCGAAAAAAAAACAACATTGGTTCTTTGCAAGCCAAAGTGATAATAATAGAAAGAACAGAGAATTTCTCTGGTTTTTTAAATATATTGGAACTGTTCGACTTTTCATGCTTACTGTTTAATTTTTGTAAACCCATACTTGATCAATTATTAAACAAGACGAACGATTGCGATTACGTTACAATTATTTTAGCTGTACAGCTACTCATAAAATTTACTAAAATTCTCTTTAAGTAAGTAATTGCAAAGTTTTCATTTCACAGCTTCAAATTTTCTTCTATTAGACGCAAAGATCCATTTTGCATATTATCATCCAAATGAGAAGATGAATAATATTTTAAATTTTACATTGATCAATAGAGTTGAAATAAACAGCAGACATACAAACACGTACTTTCTCTCATTCCAGCACTTTTCATTTTTAGTCTTTTTTCAAAAGCTTCTGAACTCATGCATTACAGGCGCGTTTCAGTTGCACTTTAAAAATACATTTTTCTCTCGTGGTTTACATTTTGGAGAATGGATGACAACATGTATTATTAGATAGGTGTTTATCACGAGGATTTACCTGCAGAATATAAACACATTTTTGGAGCTCTGCCTAATTGAGATGAATTATTCATAAAAATCACCTTCACCTTTACAGTATCGTTCAATTCGAAGTAGAACTAACTTATATTATTATTGCGAAATGGCAATCATCACTTTTGCCAGGATCAAAATTTTCAGATATTGAAAAATTTATATAAAGAAGATACAAGGTGGTCCAATTTTTAACCCTCCAACTTAAATTAGACGACAGTTAGTCAAATTTGAAGAAGAGTTAAGATCTCGAGAGACCCATGGCTTCGGAAATTTACATTACCGCAAATGTTTTTTGCACACAAAATCGAAAAATGAGGTTTTGATTTTTTTTTAATTGTTTTTTAAACCCGTTTAGTCGTTCTTAAAGCTCTACGCACTGATATTAAATTTAACAAAAGCGCTTTTAGTTTATGAGATATCGGCACTTGTGTCTTGTTTAATGCCAATTATATGTAGCTTCGCTGTTTTAAATTTTAGTGATTTGAATTAGGTAAATACGACATGTTATTGACGTTCGAAATATAGAAAGCACTGTATGGCTGCATCTGTTTTACTATTCCTAAATTGCTGCTGTTAATATGTATATTGAAATATTTTATTGCGTCTTATTTGCGTTCAAAATTTCTAAATATTTTTTGGCTGGTCTTTCAAAATTGGTATTTACTATTAGATTAGAAAGGAGAAATAAATTAGTGAAAGCTAAAAAGAAATTAGCATGTTTCATCTTTTTTATTTTTTTCTGATCAGAATCGAATTTCGCACAACTATAATAAACAAGGAATTTAAAAATAATTTCCGTTTTAAACGAACATTCATAAATTTAAAAAATCTGTAATTATCTATCTATAATCTGGAAATTAAAGTGAAACGCATTTTTTATTTGTACACGATTTTAATATTATTGTAGAAGGATAATGAACACGTATGAGAAGGAATGTAGTACAGGGAATGCTAAAAACACAAAAATTAACAGAAAAGCAAAGTAGCTTAGATTAAAACACATAAAAAAATTTCGAGGCGTTAGCAATCGCAATCATTAGAGTTGTTATTTGGTCTGAAAATTTTAAATAAAAAAACTATGTATTTCAGCAAAATCTCACAAACCGCGTTAATTCAGAATTAAATGTAGAATTGTAAAATACATTTTCTATGCTGATAAACCATTGGCGTGCACAGCTTCTTCGCCTGAAAAGTATAAAATCTTACATGAAACGTTGCCTCGGGCAATCCAACGGTTTCTATTTTAAAATCAGCTTTATTTTAGCAATAAATCGAATAGAGCTTTTTTGAGCCCAACGGCATCTAGATTAGGAATTGGTTTTTCTGCTAAGAAAATAAAGGGCATAGTTTTTCCGCCTGGAAAGTATCAAATCTTAGATAAAGCCTTAATTGTCTCGGTCTATTCAACGATTTTCATTTATTTAATCAGAAACTGTCTATTTTAGTGAAAAAAACCTGAAAGATATTTTTTTATTTTTTATAGTCTCCTTGTAGAATTATCAAACTTGTTGTTTGAAGCAAAACATTGTCGTGCACCGTTTTTCTGCGTAGAAATTTTCCATTCTTAAAAAAAGCATTTGTTAACTAAAGTCAGTTATTTCATTGGCAGTATTGTGGCTTCGAAGTTCCGTCTTTTTTTTTAGTGCTGGTTTTCATCAGTAAATGAAAATACCGAAAAAAAAACACAACCTTTCAGGTCAAAATAACCTTTCTCCCAACCCCGGACTCACCTTTCTCGTGGCGATTCCCAAAATACTCCAGAAAATGCTCGCGTGGGTTTCTGGATGACATGGTGCGTCTCGTTTATTTTGTATGTATGATGATTAATGTCCACTATGTAGTCGATAAATTCCTGGCAAATTTTCTTCACGGTTTGTTTACAAAATAAACATGGAATACATGTTATACACAGGAACCCACGGTGAAAGATGCACGCTCATCTCGTTTTCAGTTCATAGGGGCTTGGACTTGTATTGCAAATCGTCGGAAATGTTGCGGAAGAAAATAAAATTTTATGCATTTATGTCGGTTTTAGCCTGGTTTATTTGTGGCGTTAATTGTTTTAATTTTTTTCTTAAATCAGTTGAAAAAACGATGAGTTTTAAGAGATTGTGTTCAAATTCAGCGCGGCCTTCTGCCTTCCTACTCTAAATTATATGGTAACTAAACGATGAAGAAAAAGTTATTAAACTACTAAAATATTGTTTTATTGTAACTATGAATACATTTAGCAACTCATTATCAGAACCGGAATTATTCATTATTGCCTCGTGATTGGGATTAGAAATTTGCGTAACTCACTTTTGCATAAACACGTTTATTTTTTAGCTTTTACCATCAGCGGCCAGGTACTGCAAAGTCTTAATTCTGACATGTTTCGAGTAGCATCCCAGTTCTTTTTCACGCTTAAGTGTAATGCAAATCTCACTTTCTCTCTAATGGCTAACGAATATTTACAAGTTTGTAAAAGTATATTATGCCACTCTAATGCAAGTTGCTGGTTGGGAAATTAGATTTTTTTCTGATCCACAATCACTTGACCTTTAAGTGAATAATTGTACTTCATAAGTGGATGTCCATGTTTTTTCTGTTAAATTTCCTTTAGTCGATTATAGAAAAAAAATTACTTATTTCAACATTTCTCAAGTGTGGGACAGAGTTAAAAGTGCGGGAGTACCTACGGTTAAAACTCAGCTACTCTGTACTTCTACGATATTTTGACTTACATGAAAATATAGACGGTCTCAATATTAGAAAAAATATTGCAGAAAGAACTGCAAGAAAGTCCCAAGCAACACGCCCCGACAACGCTATTGTCCGAACGTTTTGGACGCCTCCTATTTTAACCATAGGTACTTTTATCAACGGCCTGCGATTTTATTTACATGTGTTTTCTAAACCATTTTTGGAACATTTTCAAAGTGTTTGGTGTTTATTTTCGCTGTCGCTTGTTTTATTGGACTTATGCTTAAATCATTGTCAAAAAATTTACTTTCAGTTTCTGCCTTTTCGTTTAAAAAATTCTGTTTATTATCAACAGATGAACAAACCATTTAAAAAGGGAAATGTTGATAGCAGATATTAAAAGGGCAAATATTACAGCTTTGATTTAATTATATTAAATCAAATTATATTATATTTTATAAATGTAAACAAGATGAACAGAATCATACATAATCATGGGCCAACGGCTGGGTTTTCCCGCAATTATAATTTTTTAAAATTATTTTATTGTTTTAACCTTTCAATGTAAGCAAAAACCAAAAACAAAATATGTATATTGTATACTGAGTTTAACCTGTTTCTGATGTATATATTCAAGAATCAAGTCGTCCTTGAAATGACATTGAAACAACATTTATCTTTCAATAGTCCATCTCCCTTTAATTTCTATCTCCCCTCCCATTAGAAATCCGGTTTGGAATGCAGACCAGAATGCCAAGAATTTCAAGAATCGGACCGACGCATTCGTYGGATCTGCGCGACCTTGTCACGAATGTCAAGAATTTTTACGMGCGGAGTCGCCGTAGTACGGCATTCTTCGGGACACCCTTGTTCTTATTGGTCGGATGCCCCCATTGATGTTTAAAGGCCCATTCTTAAGCATGTGACCATGCGTAGTAGTGAGTAGTCTGTGCATGTGGCTTTGGGATGTCTTTGAGGTTATCTCGACGATCGCTTGTCTTTGTCTATGTCAGCAATTTCGAACGATATTGTTTTTTAAGTGTAGTTTTTGCTTCACTTTTATCTATAGTTTTATCAATTATTGGCACAATTAATTGGTGGTGACCCGTAAAAAGGTAAGTAGGACCAATAGAAAACCATTATAGCAAAGGGTTTCGGTTTAATACAATCTTTTCTGCAGTCAATTCGTTTTCAGAGGGAAAAGTAAGGTTAGTTTTACTTATGCGTTGGCCAGATATCTTTACATTATGTGTATTTGGTTTAAGTATACTTTTATTTCAGGAAACCAACTGTTAATAAAAATAGATTACAGTTATATTAAAACATATAACAGGAAATAAAGTAAACTACTTAAATGTTTGTCTTAGGTGTCACGAAATGCTTGCTACATATACATATTTTGTAATCAAATAATAATATAATAATAAGTAATAAAGCCATTGAAATTTAACAATTAAGATTAATTTAATAAACTTTCATTTATAGAATTGAGTTTTTATTATGCAATTATTCTTCATGTCAAAGTTTTTGAAAATAAAGTTGGTTTCGAGTAGAGCATTCAAAACTGCAAGTTTTTACCCAATTTTCCCAACCGTCTTCGTATCTGCTGTAGATTCCAAGATTCCTGTACCAGTAATTGAAAAAATCTCACCCTGTATAGATTTGATAACTTCGCAACTAATTTGGCATGCAAATTCGAGAAAATTGCTTGAAGTTCGAATTGGGTATTTTATTTAAATTATATCTAAAAAGTCTGAAAAGCTTTAAACCTTTCCGCAATCTGCGTCTAAGCAAATCTTCAAAAATGTAAGTGACTATTTCAAATTCCGTTCAGTTTTTCGATTATTTAAATTATTTATTGTTAAAACAAGAAAAATTATACGGAACACAAAACTATTAACAGAAGACTACCTTGAGAGAATGAAATATTCATTTAAAACACGTCGTGGAGAAAATTATTTGAGAATGACGCCGCACAAATTTATACAGTGCATACTTAATACAACTGGTATAATAAAATAAATGAAACATTTTCCAAACTGTATGTTGGAATTTATATTTTTAATGCTTAAACTACCATGAGTGAAAAAACTCGCTACTTACTGCGCCGATTGCAACAAAGTAAAAACTGCATCAATACAAGACCATGCCCCAACCCGAAACCCCCAACCATTCCTTTCAGCTTCAACACACATAACATACAGTTTTAATTACAACACGAAATATTACTCGCTATCATGCAGCCTTTCTAGTGTTATTTAAAATTTTTCTCAACTTTCTTACGTTCGATTTGGCCTGCAAATAGTGTCTCGCTTCATCCTTGTTAAGGTCGATTGATTTTGATCTTTCGCGCACCCCACTCAAATAGTCCTCGATCCTCCTTTCCCGATTTTTGTTGACATTTATCGACGAAAGCATGTGCATTGGTTTAAAGTTTGTCACTCCCGATTCGTCAATGAGGATATAAGGCACTCTTCCGGCTAATACTCCTCGCGCTGATTCTTTGGGAACTACCGCTTGAAGGTTGCCTCTTGTGATGAGCACTGGTACGTCCAGCCTCATTTTGCGCATTAGAAAGTCTTCAATTGCCAGTAGATTTTGTCTTTTCATCAAGTCGTATGGTATGTCTCTGGAGTTCCGCAAAGGAGACATCTCGGATATTACAATGGCACTCTCCCGGATTAATTGCCTGATTCGGGGATCTGACTTTGCACACTCAGGATTCTTCTTGATTCTGCTGATTGCTGTTTTCAAAGAGTAGTCTTTTTCAGCTAGTTGTCGGATTATGGTCATTCTTTTGAGCATTTCAATGGAAGAATCCTCCAAATTGTTCAACGTAGTTTTCGGCTTTGAAAGATTCTCCACAACATCATCCTGCTCCAAGGCTTTAGCAAAGCTCAATGCTTCCTCGATGAACTCGAGCACCGTGCTTTCTTTTCTTCCTAACAACTCTTCGAAGTTACTGCTCATTAAAGCTCTAACCGTGATCACAATGCTGTCTTGAAGCGCCTCTAGTGCTATTTCTTCCGAGGTTGCATTCTTCATTCTTAATTTCACGTTTTCGCTTAAATCTTTAACTATTTCCGGGCAGAGCTTGGCCAGCTTAGTGAATGAAACATTCATTACTGTACCATCCTCAATAATCCGATCCAGATACTTCAGACAGTCCTGCAAAGTTAAGTCTTCAGTGCTCAGGTTTTTCAAACATGCCACTTTAGTGTGCGAAATGTCTTGAATTAGTTGCTTGAGAACGGCATCGCATACCTCCAACCGATCAAATGAGGTGTCTAATAACTTAAAAAGTTCTGTAAGCAAAGTGGGGTCTTTTTTAAGACTGTCCTCGATTATTTCCACTACTGAGTGCAAAGCTAAAATCTGATCTCTGGGTCTGTTTTTGTATACATCACATGCCGCCACTAGGGCCGTTTTAAACAGAATTTTAAGCTTCGTAGAGGATTTGTTGAATTTCAAATCAGTGTCTGTCGGTTTAATGTTAACATCCAAATTAATATTCTCGAGTCTTATGCTATTTTTGTCTCTAAATGCCGCTGACCTCCTAGTAATGGCTATAAGAATTTCTGCTAGTCTATTAATACTTTCTTTTTCATCTGTTATTTTCGCTGCCGCTTCGCATGCATCGCTATCGTTAACGTACGATACCAGATTATTTTCGGACATCATGCTGAGCTTTCTAAGCTCGTCTAGCTTGAGTTTCAGCAGCCGCTTTTTCTCCTCTAAAGAGTTTACTAGGTCATTCATTCCATCGTCTTGCAAAATTAACTTCAGTTTCTCCAGTTCTTGGCGTTGCTGTTCGTGCTTTAATCGAATGGCTTCTATATCCAAGTCCTCCAGCTCTGAGTTGTTGAGTTCATCGGATGTAGATGTTTCGTCAGTGGAAATATCGGAATCTTCACCATCCAGTAAAGGATTTTGATTATCAGCATTTGCCACGATTATTTCGATGTTTTCAAAATTGTGCAGCCCACTTTCTTTCATGATGTCTTCGATGACTCCTTTCAAACATTCATCTTCATTATTCTCTTCTTCCGGTACCACACTAATGATTCTTAAAAGCTTTCTTCGCCTTTTTTGCCGTTGCTCTTCGGGTTCTGGGGGTGGGCGTTCCTCCGAGTCAGTGGCAAATGTTAACTGGCCACCTGATGTTATCGTTGATTGGGATGGTAAAAATAGAGGATCTTTTTCCTCGTCGCCCATTATTAATCCGTTGACCAGAGTGGGTTTATTGTCGATATTAATGGTGATTCCAGGGGCGTATTCGTCGCCGAATTCATTTTGCACGGTTTGTCCAGGCACAAAAACATCCCCTTCTTCAGTATGAACCATTTGGCCGCTTACAAAGCACTGCTTTCCTGAAGGCAATACCACCATAGCGCCTGAAACAGTTCTCTTTTCAGTCGATTCGTTTTCTTCAGTTTCGATTTCGGTCAATGTCGCCGTTCCAAGACTTTTAATAATATCGGGTATATCTTTAAGCGTTGGGAGCTGACTGAGCAAGTCTTCTCGTTGGGCAAGCGTCTCGTTGACGTTCTTCGTGGCTTCTAAGTTAGCAATTTCCATCGGAATCGGATTTTCTGTAACCGGTTCTTCTATATCATCAATAACTTTTTTGGCGTCTTCTTCAAACTTCTTCCAGTCAAACTTGCGCATTATTTGCTTCATCATTTCTTTGAAAGCTTTGGTGCCTTCCCATTTGTGTTTCTTGCGTCTCTTCATGATCTTTTTCAGCTCTTCTTCCCACTTCTCTTCTTGCATTTCCTTATCTTCGAATAATTTGGCTAAGCTCATGGTGTATTTCCCGTGATGGTGAAACTTTTCCTCTGCTTCTGAAGTTGCACCTTCGCCGCAATAAAGAGTCTCGCCATTTTGCTCGTAATATTGAATTTCAATTGGCACTTTTTTGAAATCCTTGGTTTTTACGAGAATTTTATCATTTTTCTGAGACACCAACACATCGATAATGTCGCCATCGCGGACGGCCAATTCAAAAGCTGCTTGGACGACTATATTGTATTTTTTGTCTTCCACGGTATATACGTACATACCTTCCCCTTGCTTGCTGTCCAAAATTTTTTGCAGCCTTTTTTGATTTTCGTTTTCCGGATCAAAAGTTGGGGTCATGTATGTATAGTCATCCATTTTCTTATGTTCTTTGCTGCCATAGTTCTTTGATTTCTTTGAGCGCTTATTTCTGTGATTTTTAAGCGCCGGAATATAGTGCTGATATTTAGCTCCAAGTAGCCATTTACCTGTAATCCTGAGTGTGCGTAAGGCATCTTTGGGAGTCAGCGGCTTCAAAAGCGGCAGATAAAAATTCCTCGTAAATATCTTGCTGGCTCCGGTAATTTTGCAGAAAGAAAGTACATAGTTCACCATTTTACAGATTTTTATTTAACACTTTCTCGTTGATTATTACAGTTTATTTGAATTTACACGTTTATTTATAAAATATTTAACTATGCGACTAACATTGTCTAAGACACGAGAAAAATGACACTAATATACAAGGCGAGTAAAACCAATGAAATTAGACAGGCACACTTTTACAAATAGAAGCAAAAAAAATGGTCGTTCGTCGAATGTCGTCGGTCGGAGAGATAAAGCGGATTTCGACGCGTTGACGCTCCCGACGCTTAAGCGAAACTGGCGTCTAAAATCGGGATGCACGTGGAAGATCCCTAATTACCCCTTCTTCTCTTTTGCCAGTTTTCTCTGCAAAAAATAGATATACTTGAAAATTATGGGTATTAACGTATATTGCCCAATCTTTGCGATCTCTGGTTTTTGGTGTTGATAGATGTTCAGATGAGAGTAGCAATTCCAAAATTTTAAAAATATTATTCCATTTAACAAACACTGGTTGGTCAAGAATATTTTAAGCCGTTTTAAATCAGGTAAATGGGCATAAAAATATATCAACAATTGACTTTTGTTAGGATGGAAACTGATGGTTTTATAATTATTATCTTTCGATCTTTCTTTCGATCGAAAAAGCGCTTCACATTTTACAGCTGTGATTGCGTGATAGTGATAGATTAACATTGACATTTCATAATTATTCTTCTGGAATTTAATTGAAACCTTGAAATCCTGGCAGAAATTATATAATTTCTTTATTCAGATCTAACATCTTAATCAGACAATATTTATTAAAAGAAAGGATAGGCGACACAAAGAAACCGCAAATATAATATAAATTTTTCTGCTGGAAATAACTTTGGAAGTCGTGGTGTGCTAATAATACTATTATTTGAATGCAAAATGATATCAGTCTTTTAACACATTAACAAGAAAGTAGATTTAAACATATGAATCTCAAACCCGAAATCGTTTCGAGTGGTTTAAAAATCAGCGCTTTTAAATCCTACTGGCTCGTATGTATATGTATGTTCTTGCAAATTTAAACAAGTAAATGAACGAGTGAAAAGTGTACTGAAACATAACATTGTTACAAAATATGTCTAGGATTCCTGAACTGTTAAATGAATGCCTTGTATATCATGCCTCGTCTGAATAAAAAAATCTATTGCTAAGTTATATGGATATGAAAAGTTGATATTTAATAGCCAGACCATTCCAAAATTAAATCCAACAGAAAGCTACTTACAAGAATGCAACATAAAGAACGATATTCCTAGCATACGGAACAAGAACAAAAATATTGGTTTAATGCCTTCTGCCAAACTGAAACTCGCTGGCATATGAATTTAAAACCTTCTGGTACTTCAACATTCTAGTTTGGCTTTTGGCTTTCTCTAAAATCTCTTTGGTCTTGTCATCATCAAAGAATGTTCCCTTCTTAATGCTAAGTTCCAATTCTTCTAGTTTGGCACTTTTCTTAACTGGTTGAACGGGTTCGTATTTAGGAGGCTTTTCTATCTTAAAATCTTTGCATTTCTTTCGAATGTCCATGCGAAGTTTCATTACTTTTGACTCCTCTTTCAGTATTTTTTCTTCCATTCGTTCTTTCATTCGCTTCTTTTCTTCTTCTTCTCTCAGTCTCCGTTGCTCTTCCAGATATATTAATGGATCATCAACAGGTTGCCTTTGAGGCCTGAATGCGTCCCTAGGTGGAGATGGTTCTTTGGGCTTCATTTCAAATTGAGGACGTTTCTTCACTCGTTCTTTAACTGGTTCTGGTTCTTCGAATGTACGACGCTTTATGACAATATCTTCATCCCTAATAACGCGCGGCTTTGGTTTCGGAGCTGGAGGGGGACTGGGTGTTAACTCTCTACGACGTCTAGCTGGTGGGAGGTCCTCCTCAGTGGCCTCGAACTTTAGCTGACCTTCACCTGTAATTGTGGACTCCCCTGGCAAAAACATGGGCTGACTTTCCTCTTCTCCCATAACAAGGCCAGGAATAAGGGTTGGCTCGCCGTCCATAAGCACCGTTATACCTGGAGTATATTCGGAATTGCCATCTTCGTCTTCCACTGTTTGTCCGGGAACAAATATTTCTTCTTCGTCAGTTTTCACGAGCTGTCCAGGAACAAAACAAGATCGTCCCTCGGGTATTTGGACTCTGGCCCCAGACACATTCAGCATTTCATCCATTTCCCCAGATTCTAAATTTTTAATAACCTTAGGTACTTCCAGCATAGTAGGTAATTGCTCCAATACTTCTTGTCCTCCTGCTTTCAATTTTTCGTTTACATGTTTAGTTTTCTCCATGTCATCGACCTCCATTGGAATATCTTCTTCTTCGACAGTTTCCTCTTGTTCTTCCACAATTTGTTTAGTGTCTTCTTCGAATTTGTCCCAGTCCATATTTTCTAAACATCCATTCATCATAGCTTTCCAGTCTAGATTGTCTTCACCCTTGACTTTCTTCTTGCGTTTGTTTGCCAAACGCATCATTTCTAGTTCCCATTCTTCAACACCTGATTCTTTAGCTTCAAACAATTTGGCTATAGAAAATGTTTCTTTTCCATGATGATGCTCTTTCTCAGTTACTTCCTTCGTCCAGCCGGAGCCACGGTAGAGTGTTACATGGTCGTTAAGTGGAGCAATAGGAACAGTAACTTTGAGGCCGTTGGCTAACTTGACGACAATTTTCTCACTGCGCTGTGCTATTGTTATATCAATTATGTCTTTGTCTTTGATGGCTTTTTCCATTTGATAGTTGATAACGAGTATGCATCCCTTATCGATAATTTCATACACATAATGCTGTCCACGACCTTTAGGTTTCCGGGCAAGAATGTTTTGAAGCGCCGGATGTCCATCCATGTTCTCGTCCAAGAAGGGTTCCACATAACGGTAGTTTTCATTTCGTTTGATTTTCTTTTTAATAACTGGTACGCCTTTGCCCCGCTTTTTCTTCTCAGCCAATTTCTCATCATGGGGCTTCAGCACCGGAATGTAATGTTCGATTCTACTTCCCAAAACGTTTTCGCCGGTAATAATTTTTCTTCGTAAAGCATCTTTAGGCGACAACGGCTTCAATAGAGGAAGGTAATAGTTTCGCTGAAAGAGCTTACTGGCGCGAGTGATTTTGCACAGGGAAATTTTTACATTGATCGGCATGGCGAACGAACCTTTCTTGCAGTTTGGATGCTTCTATTTGTAGAGTATTATATAAAGAATGACATTTGAACACAACATCTAAGTTAAACTACTGGATCGAATTAGCTTCGCGTACATCGAGTCGAGCAGCGGACGATTGACAATGAACTAGAAATTAAAAAGACTGCAAAGCGCCGCGACTGAAGAATGCAAGTAATCTTGAATCCGTGCCCGACCCGATAACCGATATCTTAATGCGATCGATTGTCTGTCCAAATTGGGCACCACAATTAATAGACGGATTTCCAGATACGATGACGCATAATCCCCACCGTATCGAAGGTATTTCTATATTGGTATGTGTCCAACCAATGGAACTGACCGGTGTATTCCTTGGTCAAGTACTTTTTATAATCAACGTCGAAGAACTTTCCTCTTTTGATGCTTTTCTCGAATTCACGCAATTTTTCGCTTTTTCTCACCGGTTCTAGAGGTTCATATTTTGGAGGTGGAGGTCTACTGTCTACTAATTTCTTCACTTTTAGCTTTATTTCGCGGCGTTGTTTATCGACCTTTGCTTCCTCCTTGCCCGATTTCTCTTTGAAAGCTTCAACTCGTTCCTTTTCCTGTTCTAAAAAGTCTTTTTCGAACGTTGGAGTTTGAAGATCGAAAATCTTTGCATCTATTATGGTTTTGCGTCGAACCGGATCAGGGGTTTCTTCTGTTTTTATCACGACCGGGGCTACTTTTTTCGGACCACGCACACGATGTTTGGGACCCATATTTTCCGTATTGAACTCGCGCTTAGGTCGCTCGTAAGTGAGCTCTTTCCTTTCCCGTTTTGGGGGCGGTCTCTGTTCGACCTCCTCTTCTTCACTATTCTGATCCTCTTCCAACTCAACTTCTTCCACCTCCTTCTCCTCGGGGGGCGGAGTTGGCGGATGTGGAATGATGTCGTCTTCTGTCGCGGCGAACTGTAATTCGCCAGCCTCTGTAATAGTTGATTCTCCTGGCAAGAACATGGATTTGTCGGGATCGTTGCCCATTACCAAGCCGGGAATTAGAGTGGGCTCGTTATCTAATAATACCGTAAAGCCAGGTGTGTACTCCTTATCACCTGACTCGTTTACAACAGTTTGTCCGGGCACAAATAACTCGCCGTCCTCTGATGTCACCATTTGACCTGGGACAAATCGGTCACTGCCGGCAGACAAGCTGACCCGTGCCCCGGAAATATTTGCAATTTCTGTAAATTCACTTTGGTCCTTCATGACTTTAAGGATTTGCGGAATCTCGGGCATCGTTGGTAAAAGAGACATTATTTCGTCACCTGCCGCCTTTAGCTTTTCATTTACATCGCATGTTTTTTCTATGTCATCCAGTTGCATGGAAATTGGTTCGTCGTCTACCGGATCATTTGATTCGGCAACGATTTGTTTGGATTCTTCTTCAAACGCATCCCAATCCATGTTGTTTACTGTGGAATTTAACATATCCTTCCAATCCCTGGAGTCTTCTCCTTTCATTTTCTTTTTCCGCTTGTTGGCCATCCGCATCATTTCCAGCTCCCATTCTTCTATTCCCGCCTCTTTCGCTTCGAACAATTGAGCAATGGAGAATGTCTCCCGTCCGTGATGATGGTATTCCTCAATGTCTTTGCGGGTCCATCCTTCTCCTCGGTAGAATGGCGCGTGGCCATTGTAAGGGCAAAGGGGCATTACCACCTTAGTTCCGTCTCTCATTTTCACCAGTATTTTCTCGTGTCTTTGTGCAATTACGATATCAACGATATCTTTGTCTCTAATAGCTTTCTCCATTTGATAAGTCAGGACCAGGGTACACTTTTTCTCGGGGATATAATAAGTGTAACATTGGCCGCGACCCTTTGGTTTTCGTATAATCAAATTTTCAAGTTTCGGATGATTTTCCATCATGTCATCGAAAAAGGGCATCACGTATTTCATCGATTCCTTTTTCCGTTGTCGTTTTTTGCCTTTCCCCTTAGGCATATGTCTTCTTCTTTGCACCCGACAGGCGTACTCTTCCAAAACTGGAATCCAATGCTCAATTGCCTTGACCAAGACATCTTTACCTGAAATAATGCAAAAGTTAGAAACACATTCCAATTATTAGTAGAAATTAACTTGCCAGTTATGATGTGTATCCGAAGTGCGTCTTTTGGTGATAGGGGCTTGAGCAATGGAAGGAAGAAATTTCTCTGAAATAGTTTACTCTGTCTTGTGATGTTACACAGCTGTATCATTACATTGAAAGGCATTTTGGCGGAATTTGGGAAACTACGCGAAAATAGAAGAAGTACTTTTTACAACACCGACAAAGAGTGTATCCCTAAGAGGTTAGGACTGTTGTTCGGCCACTACTGACCTAGATATTGTACGGAAAAAGTGGGGCAAGCTATTATTGACCTATTTTTAATACTGATTCACATTTGGCTAATTGATGTTGGCTGAGTGAAGCCCTTCGACATTTTGAGCTCCACGTGAAAACTTTACGCGCATAAAAAAATAAACGTGTAATGATTCTGAACTTTACACCATGTCATATATTTTTTTAAGCGGTATATTTTACAACTGATATAAATTCGAGTTAAGAAAAAGGCTTGTTAAGGCTAAACTCGAAAAGCGGTTTTTGTTTAAGCTTAAGTAACTGAAGTGAATGTTGCACTTTAATTACACAACTCCTTTTGAGGAATCAATTGTGTCACCTATTTAACGCCTTATTGAAAAACTCAACAATAAACACCTGCGACATTTACAGCTCTGCTTCATAGTGCAACTCAAAATGTCACGGTGTTAGTGAGCAAATTTATTTTTGAGATCGTAATTATAGCTAAGTGTTATGTGATTAGTATTAGAATACCTATCATCGGATTCCTCGATTGGAATGAAATCAATTAACATTTAGCTTTATTTACTGAGTAGGCTATTATACGTATACAGGGTGATTTGATTAGAATTGGTTCGGGGTATCTTTGAAATGAAAGAACTACTGCTACGTGTGAAAATGAGATTTATGAGCCTAACATGACAAATGTTAAAAGTTTGTACAATAGATTGCTTATCCAGTGCGTTTTTATTAACGCACAACATGTTTAGTGGCAGTTCATTCTATTACAAGAAAATATTCGAAATTCTTTCTTGTCATTTTTTGAGTGATCCATATTTTATATATACAGGGTTGCTCATTAGTGCGTCAAAGTGCGATATCTCAGTAAATATGAAGTTTACAAGAAAATTCGTCCAACGAAAATTTTTCACGTTTAAAAGGTTCACATTCTAAAATTACTTTCCAGTATACAGGGTGCATCATAAACGTGTGGTAGTTACCAACTCTGGTTTTTTAAATGAAACCCACCCTTTTTTTTGTTATTTTCAGATTGGCCGTTCAATTTTAATTTATGTTTGTTTCAACCGTTTTACCTGAAAAATTTACGATTTCCGAGTTATTC